CTCCCTTATCAGTCTGGTTATGCGTATTACTAAGGGTCCTGATGACTCTTCATGCCATTTTATATATGTATTTTGGTACCAACTCTGAACATGCTTGCAATACTAGTGACATTGCCACACTGTATTCCAACCGTTTTCCATTTATTTTTTTCTACTTTTTAAACTTTTTTTCTGTTCTGCTCGGCATCTATAAGAATAGACCAAACAGCAGTGAGTAGCCTGCCGGAGGTTTGGCTTAGCCGATCCAGATGTTGGATTGGCTGAGTCGAACTCCTTCTGCACTTCGGGTCGGCCGAACATGCTGAGCATGTTCGGCCGACCCGAAGCCACCCGATGTACGGCTGATTTCAGCCGACATACGGCTGAAATCAGCCGTACCAGCCTACGGCAGCTAAGTGAATAGACCCCTATGTGTTTTTTAAAACACACACTACTGTCGAAAAAAAAAATACTATAAAAACGTACATTTATAAAGCATTACAAATGTGTTCTGTGATCTGCTAGCTTTGGGTTAACTCTGGCTTTGGGAATTTGGAAGAGCTTAACAGAATTATATGAAAGTTCTGTTAAAAAAAAAAAAAACCTGGTTGTGACCAATCCAAATCACATGACTACCTCTCTTCCAGTCATAGAGCTCTCTCTGCTCTGTTAACCAAAGCACCTTGCATTTTATGAATGGGATTAATGGGTAGCGAAACACAATGTAGATATCTGCTCTCTGTTATTGATGATCACCTTAGTATGTGCGTGTGTGTGTGCGTGTCTGTGCGTCCATACATCAGATTTCTCCATAGTCCAAAATGGAGATATACTCTTGTACTCATGTACTGTAATTTAGAAAATTATTTTGGCAGCCAGTGCGGTAAGATATATTTTCAAAATTCTTCATCCCCCAATTTAAATTCCTTTGAATAGCATTGTCCTTCAAATATTCACCTTTTTATTTTTATACATTTACAGGGATGTTCACAAAATGGTGAAGAGTTTGGAGAAGGCAGGAGAAGTGAACAATGTAGGACAACATAGCTGAACTGGAAAGTGAGCTGAATTGGAGAATATTTCCAAATCAGCTATTTTGTCCTAGATTGTTCACTTCTCCTGCCTTCTCCAAACTCTTCACCCTTTTGTGAATAAACCTGTTAGTTATTTAGTTTAAGTTATGTCCAGCAATAAGAGATCTTAAAACCCCCCATTAAATACCACAGACTGTTGGGACCTTACTAATATAACATGCTTTGGATGAGGACTGGGAGAATATAAGCTTCCATATACCATACAGAGCTTTTAAACAAACAGTTTTCTTTAACTCTTGGCGCTAATGTTTTCTAGAGCTTTTAAACAGTTCAACTGTGGAGAATAAAACAATGTGAAATAGCTCCATTTTGAATCCACTGAATATGTTTTGGTTAATTGCTTAGGGCTGTGTTTGAGTATGTGACAGGGAATATGATTGCCTTGAGGGCAAGGCACAAGCCCATTAGGTGTCCTCAGTGAATAATGCTTGTATTGTGAACAGTAGGCAAGGAACTTTGTATGTCCCAAAGGAGGTCGTAAATACATACTTTAAGGTCAGCTACTCAAGCTTTTGTGCAGTTGAACCAACAAGCAAGAAGCTGTAGAATGATACATATATCACAACATGATTTTCCTAGCTTTATAAGAAAATAAAAGAAATAATTTACACTCCCCAGATTCATCATTTGCTGTTCCTTCTTGTCAGATCATTTGGCATCTTTCTTTAGCAACTGAAAAGTAGTTTATAAAATGTTATCTGCAATGCAAATTAAACAGCTAATAAAATAGATGGTTTGTTGCTTTTGGCTCGGGGCCAAACACAGCCAGCCGCTATTAATTAACTGAAATATCACACTGGACAGCAAAATAATAAATATTACAGATACTGTTTATATATTAGATTGGCAATACATTGTGACTGCGGAATATAAAGTAAACCTTATGACATGAACTACATTTAATAGGCACATTACCACCTAAATAAATAGCAATATTTCAAGAGTAAAAACTCTTCATTTTGACTTGATTTATTACTTGTTTTCTTTTTTTCCTTAAACGTAAGAAAGTTGTAGTTTGGGATGTAATTCTGGCCGGAGTGTTTAGCCTTTCTTTAAATTTTTTTAATTACATTTATTTGGACACTGTATCAAAGTTTTTTGTTGCTGCTACTTGAGAGCTGGGGGGAGATGAAGTGATATTTTATAACAACGTAATTTTTTGGAGATACTGCTATGTCAAGTGATAACTATAACTGACAATATGTTCAACTGCTAGTCCCATCATTGTGGCCATGGCTGTATTATGTACAAAGTCAACATAAACACTCATGTGCACTCTTCTGTACCTGCATCTATGAGTTTGCACACTTCCATGGACGTGCATGCATGCTTGTGCCTAAAAAACATTAATTACTAGAGTAGATCTACATTATATAGTCAATTGTTTGTGGACACCCTTCCATATTATTGAGTTCATATATTTCCGGTAAAGGGTACTGTATACCAACACATTTTGTACAATTGTGTACTTCCACAAGACTGCCAGTAAACTTCATGGCTTTAAGAAAAATGCTGCAAAATAATGATCAACTTTTCTAAAAAGAGGTTGTATTAATAAAATGCAGCCGATTTCTTTTGTTCATACGCATTTTTATTGATAAAAAAATAGAAAGAACAAACACAAAGGGTACATAGACGCAGATCACCACATTGCAGAAGAGGAGTTACACAATATACAGGTATCGAGATGGTCATCAGGGATACAATAATGGTATATCGCTAGATCACTTATAGGTAACATATGGCACATAGAGGTAATCCAAAGTTGATGTCTTCAAAGTACACGGCATACTCCTCACTGTTAAGAATAATGTCTGAAGTGGCATGGGACATGTGGTTTGTGGGGAGGAATCAACAATGCGCCCAGTGATGCAAGAGCAGTAGGAAACAAACAGGGGGCAGAAAAGAAAGGGGAAGAAAAGAGGAGGAATATGAGACAGAATCCATGAAATGAGCCAGATGGGGATGGTAGGCACAGGGCCCATGTGAGCATCATATCAATTCATCAAAGTTGATCAAAATTGGGCGGCAGGAAGTGTCGTACCCATATACCCATATGGTGTTAAACTTACGCATGGTACCCGTCGGTTTAGCTGACCTATTTTAATTTACGGCTATCGTCCGTCATATCTAGCTCCAGCCATAGAGTTTCCACGTCTTCCCCATTATTTGACGTGATATCGTCCCTTATATGCACAATAGTTAATGTGAAACATATTTTCACCACGGAAACACTAGGGCTAGCCAGTTTCCACGATTTTGCAATCTCCTGCTTCATGTTTTTAATTACACATAATAGAGGTTTAAATTAGATGAAGGTAAGGATTTCAGGTTTCTTATTAAGGAGAGTGGATATTGGCTGCTCTGTGAGAAGTCTGCCAAGTGATATAGTGATAATATGGCAGTTTCGATTACCCAGTTTGGAGCCAGTTGGGTATTGCCATGAGGTATGTTTGAACCTTAAACTTTACAGCCATGAAAGCAAAGAGGGGAGCAATTTGTAACATATGTAGCTATGCACATTGGAATCAAAAAGCAGTGTATTTTTAAACTTAACTGTGGAAAAATTAACTGATCTGTTGGTATCAGCTACTTTGCTTTAAGTATAGTCACAATCATAAAAACTGTTTTCAGACTTCTTTCTTATGCAAGATGTTAAATATTAACTACATGCGATGAATATTAAAGCTGACAGTTTCCTGTAATTATTGTAAATTGAGTGTTTAATCCTTAATGTACACGTTCCAAAAAAGGGATAATTAGGTTTATTGT